TCAATCTTACTTGTTAATTTCTTCCCTTCTTCTTCATTGAAGCAATTCTCAAGCATCTTCTTCCAATAATAGTCGAATTCATCCTCCGTCTCCAAATCATACATCAAGAAGGAAAGCTCTTCCAAAAATGGTGACCACCACAACCCATTACTCTTTGCATTCATTGTTATATAGAATGTGCACAGCCTATGATAAGTGCGTGGCAATGCTGTCCTTAGACCAGCAGCAATTGCTGCCGCTTGATCGGTAAAAACAGCTCCCGGTTCCTTCCCGTTCATGCAAATGAGAAATTGTTTGAAGAGCCAATCAAATGTGGCTGATGTCTCATCATAGAGTAGGGCAGCACCAAAAACACATGATTCTCTATAGTTATTGAAGCCCACAAATAAAGCTGAAATGAACATTTTGTTTAAAATTAGTAATGAGGTTTAACAAAACTGACCTATTGCAAAGTAACAGAACAGAGCAGAAAAACATACTAAGAATACAAACTGTAAAAGAAAAACATACTAAGAGTACAAACTGTCAAAGAAAAACATACTAAGAATACAAACTGCAATAGAAAAACATACTAAGAATACAAACAGCAACAGAAAACATACTAAGAACACAAACAACAACAAAATCATGACAAATATGGAAGAAAATCATTACAAACATACATGTTAGTGAAAATTAAAAAAATTATAGTACCTAATGGGCGAGCATTCTTGTTGGTGCGGTATGTTGTGTCAAAGCTGATGGTGTCACCAAAATAGAAATAGTCCATTCTCATGCGTCCATCCGCCCAGAAAATACTTGCAATTTCTTCATTGATGTCAACTTGGATCTCATAAAAGAAAGCTGGGTCCATTGAAGCTTCACTTTTGAAATGATGATAAATCATTGTTGCCTCCCCAAACTTCATTGTTTTTGCCTTTTAGTCACCAAGTATACAAACAGTACAAAGGATTAGACCAAAACATACAAAGTACACAAACAGTACAAAGAATATTACCAAAACATACAAAGTACAGAAATCAAATAGTATACATACAAAACAGATCCAAAAAGCTTATAAAATGTGCAAAACCCACCTTTTAGTACGGATATAATTCTTGTGGTCCATTTGTGTGAAACCAACATTTTCTCTTCCTCCGGCAGCCAAGCATAATGTTTGAAATGATGATTGTATCGATATTCCAGCTTTGTGATACATGTCAATCAAGAACTTTTGCACTTCATTCATCGTTCTATTTGATCTCATGAATTGTCTTGATAATGGTGGGATCATCTTGTGATTATGCTCGTCTAACCAGCTTGAAATGTAGTATTTTTGGGAACTGTCTTCAAGCTGGAAGCGTATCACTGCTCTGCAATCCCATCTATCCTCTTTGGTGATTCTGCTTCTAGGTTGTTGGTCAACATGGTCGTCATTTGCTGGATTATTTGCACTACCTTTTCGCCAACCTTCCTTATTGCATCTGCCCCCAAAATATCTTACAACTTCACACGGTTTGTTATTGCTTGTTCTCTTAACCCCTCCTGTTTCTCTAACAGAAAATCCCTTATCATGTGCATAGCATTTGTACCACAGCAATCCATGATCTTTTGTGTCAAAGCGAAGGTTCATCCACGTTTCTTCATTGCTTGGTATTATTTTGATCTCATCATCTGCAGAAACAACCAGTTTACAATATCAGAACAACCACATTACAAAGTAACAGAACAGAGCAGAAAAACATACTAAGAATACAAACTGACAAAGAAAAAAATACTAACAGTACAAACTGTAACAGAAAAACATACTAAGAGTACAAACTGTAAAAGAAAACCATACTAAGAGTACAAACTGTAACAGAAAAACATACTAAGAGCACAAACAGCAACAATACTAACATTACAAACATAATTAAACCATACAAACTGATGCACTAAAGCTATAAAGACATACGATATTTCGTACAAACTGCATAAACCATACGTTTGTACTGTTTGCACTGTTTGTACAAACATAACAATCATCATATATAAAGACTTACAATACAAAATGTACTGAACAGAGCAGAAAAACATACTAAGTATACAAACATCCAAAGAAAAACATACTAAGAATACAAAATGTAACCAGAATCATTACAAACATCAGACAAGATTTCATACCGATTTCACGTTGTACTGTTGTTTCCTGAATATCTACATCCATTGCTGTTTCAGTTCCAGTTTCTCCCATTTTTTGTTCATTAGCTCCATCAACCACTTCATCCATTCTTATAGGAGCAGAATCCATCCTGCAAAGAAAAACGCCTCGCCGTTGGCTGGAAAAACGCGTTCGCCGTTGGCTGGAGGAGAGTGCAACTCGCCGTCGTCGATCGCAGGAGGAAAATCGCCTCGCCAATCGCCAGAAATCGCCTCCCCGCCAATCGCCGGAATCTCCTTTGCCTATCGCTGGAATCGCCTCACCGATCGCGGGAGGAAAATCGCCTCGCCAACAGCCAGAATCGCCTCGCCGCCAATCGCCGGAATCTCCTTCGCCTATTGCTGGAATCGCCTCGCCGATCGCGGGAGGAAAATCGCTCCGCCAATCGCCGGAATCGCCTTCGCTCGCTGGAGGAGTTTGGACGCCGAGAATCTCCCTCGCCGTTCGCGGGAGGAAAAGCTTCGGGAGATTTTTTTCCCTTCCCAGAATAAAAAGGAAAACCAATTAATGAATTTTTTTATGGCAGAATTGCCCCTCCCAGTATTGAAAAATCCCTTCCCTAATTTTCACCGTTAGATTGATCCTTCTACATCCAATGGCTAGGAGGGGCTTAGCCAAGTGACTAAGCACCCCCCCTTAGTCACCAGATCCGGACTCCTATCGAAAGATGAACCCGAGGATGGACTCCGCCACAACAAATCGATGTCATTAAGAACAGAGACAATGAATACCATAGACATGGTAGCATTGCTCAATAGTTTAATCGCCTTCTCAATCATGAATGGAAAGTTTTGGTTGAACACGTGTACAGAGAGGCCAATTTTGTAGCCGATTACTTGGCGAATCTCGGCCATGATTTCCATTTTGGTACGCACAATCTCAATATATATATGTTAGAGATTCTGGTTTAGTTCAATGGCTCCGCCATGATGTAAGGGGTGTTTCCCATGAACGTTTTATTAATATGAGTTAGACGCTCTTGCGTCGATCTTTCTAAAAAAAACCCTTAATCAGGCTTTCTTAAAGAAAGATAATTAATGGTATAATGAACACTAGTAGACAAGTTGACCGAGATATACTGACTATTACAAAATTTTCTTTTATATGTGTACCAACCTACCAGGTACTCTCCTAATGCATATTTTATGAACTAATGAATATATTAAGATAAGAAGTACCAAACTTATTAAGAATGATTGTACATTTATTGATTATTAGGTTTTGCTTTGGATGTCACTTTGATATAAAATGTTAATATATACATTTTCCCCCAATATATAAAGTATATGTCATTTTAATGAGCTCGATTTTTCATAATCTTTGACGCGAAAAAATAAATTTGGACATAAACTTAAAAAAATAGATACAATTTAATATCCAAACCTTTCATTTTAAACAATATCATAGTCAAACCTTTACGAAAACAATCTAATATCCAAATCGTCAACTTTCCGTTCGTTTGACCGTTAGTTGACACTTCAAAAAAGCTTTGTTTAGGAGAAATTTTCACAATACAACTTTGTTTTCTTGTTTTGGCATTGCAGATGACTGCATATTTAGATATCCTATATCATCATGGTGGAGTCATGGACTTCTTAGGTTTGGAACTACGATATGTTGGTGGTTTTTCAGAGAAGATATCGATGGATATTGATGAAGTGTCGTACTTCGAACTTTTTTGAAGTGTCAACTAACGGTCAAACAGACAGAAAATTGACGATTTGGATATTAGATTGTTTTCGAAAATGTTTGGCTATTATATTGTTTAAAATAAAAGGTTTGGATATTAAATTGTATTTACCTAACAAATATACCAGTTAAATTTAACTGAATCGCTAAATGTCGCCCTTAAAATTGCTAACGGTCGCCCTAACTCTAATGATAAATGACTTATATACCCCCAATAAAATTTCAAAATTTAAACAAACCAAACAATCCCTAACCCCTCAAACTGAACCTCTCATCTGCCTTCTTCGCGAATCCCTCTTGACGCACCAGTTCGTCGGCGTCTTTCCCGCCGTCATCGTCGCCCGTTCTCTAACGAAATTTCCAAAAAAACGCTTAACCTAAGGCAAGTTACGGTTAGTCCATGGTGCAACCGCAACTCACTTGCGGTTGGTCCATGGTGCAACCGCAAGTGAGCTGCGGTTGGCCCATGGTGCAACCGCAAATGAGCTACGGTTCCCTTTTTTTGTTTTTGTTTTTTTCAATTTTTTGAGTGAACTTTACCGATTCAGAGTCGCTAGTCATGCTCCAGACATCATATCGACGATTCCAACTCCAGAATGATGATAATGGATTCTCTCTTTTGAATAATGTTTTATTTTCTTTACTAAGTTGTGTTTGTTTGCTAAAGGAAGAGTAAAGAAGCTAAAATGTTAAATTTGTAACTTTGATGTTTTTTAGGGCGACATTTAGCAATTTTAAGGGCGACCTTTAGCGACTCCCAAATTTAATTGGGTCCCTCCACCAACCCACCCTCCACGCGGGGGCAATTTTGGAATTCTCAAGTTCCAGTAGAATCGTAACTCCACAGTCCACTCTTCCTCCCATGCATGGCCCCCAATTCCACCAAATGTAATGTAACCGTTCATTTTTACACGTACAGTCAAAAAAGTGACAAGACTTGTCCTCCATGCAGCATGCCTCTCCAGTCTCCTTGCCTAAGTTTGTTTCAAAGAAACGCTCATCCTCATTAATTCCAAATCTTACCTACTCCCAAACAAGAATACAACCCAATATATATATACATAGCTGCACTCACAAACCTCAGACCGCATCCCAAAAAAACCCTAACTCTCTCTCTCTCTCGCGTGCAACAATGGCTGCGCTACAGATCACCAAACTCCCCAACATCACCACCACCACTCCTCACCACCATAACGCTCTCACCACCGTTTCGCTCCTCCGTCTCCCGCGCTTCCCGCAACATGATAACTCCGTCACTCGCCGTGACGGCCTGTTCTCCCGCTCCTCCGTTAAGTACGACGCCAGCCGTCGGTTCGGGTTGGTTGCGGTTCGGGCGTTCGACTACTCGGCGGCGGCGTCTACTGCTACTACGACGACCGAGACGGAAGAAGTTGTCGTCGTGGAGGAGGAGGAAAAGCCGGCGGAAGGGAACGGTACGGTGACGAGGTTTAGGAAGGCGGCGGCGGCGGAGGAGTATCCCGATGACGTGGCGGCTTTTGAGGTGAGGAAGGACGGTGGGGTGTGGGACGACATTCTGCTGAAGCTGAGGCTGATGGTCGCGCCTCCGTGGCAGCGGGTGCAAAACGGCAGCGTTCTGGTCATGCACTTGGGCGGCGAGGTATATCTGTATATTAATTAATTAATATATATATCGTCACTGAAAATTTCAATTTGTAGTCCAGATGATGACGTGGCTTGAATTAAATGTTTTGCAATAATAGTTTTGAGTAAATTTGATGGTGGTGGTGGTGGTGGTGATGTCAGATATCGGATTTGAAGGGGAAGTTCTTCTCGCCGGAGTTCACACTGCCGCAAATCAGTGAGAACTTCGCCAAGGCTGCGAATGATCCGCGCGTCGCCGGGATTTATCTCAAGATCAGCTCCTTGAACTGTGGGTGGGCGAAGCTGGATGAAATCCGTCGACATATAGTGGATTTCCGGAAGACAGGTTTTTTACTTTTAAATTTTTTTATTTATTTATTATGAATGATCGAATATATTATATATACTTCTTTGAATCATAGAAAGTGTGGGTATAGATATTAGGGGCTGAGATTTGGAGCATAGATTTAGAGAACTTATATATTTTGACTTTTCCCCCCCTTAAATTTTAGATTTAGCAAAAAATCATATTTTTGTACTTTTTTCATCTGGTAAATTTTCGATTTCTGAATTTTAGAAATATAAATCTGTAATAAATGTTGAGATTTATATTTAATTAATATTTTTATTAAAGAGATTTTTCCCTCGTAATATTATTTATTTATCCCGTTGAATACCCTTATCAAATACCAACAAGAATTTCTTCTTTAATTTTACAATTACCAAAAAAAAACAATATTTCTTAAATATTTTTTCAACAATTTGGAGATATAATATATATATATATATAAATCAAGAATTGTGAACCCGTATTGAAGGTTATATCGAAAATTTCAACGATAAGATTTTTGTACTAAAAAATTATGGTTTAACCGTGATTCAATCATTTCATGCCACTAGAACCATGCACCTATCGATTTAGTATCCGATCCGGTGCTAGGTACATATTTCTGATCCGACCAGATCATAGGATACCGTTTCTAAAACATTGATTTAAACTATAGTTCACAAAACCATACCTTTAACTGAATTCAAAATTTATTGCAGGGAAATTCGTGGTAACGTACATGTATAGGTTCCACGAGAAGGAGTATTTCCTCGGGTGCGCCTCCGACGAGCTCTACGCACATTCGCTTTCACCCTTCGGTTTGTACGGCTTCGCTCTCTCCGCAACCTTCATCAAAGGTGTAATGGAGAAGATGGGGATGGAGCCGCAATGGGTGAAGGTTGGGAAGTACAAGAAGGCAGGGGACCAAATCTCTCGCACCACTATTGACAAGCCACATCTCGAGGTCTTGAATCACATGCTCGGCGAGAGATACGACTACTGGATGGACGTCGTTTCTTCTTCCACAGGTATATTTCGCTATCCGAATCTCAGCATGATGTACAGTTTCGTGGCATAGGGTAATAAGGTGCATAACTCGTAGTTATCTGTGTTAGTTTGTGCATAACCAGATCTGGGACGTTGTCATTTTAGTATCACGTAGCTTAATTGATTACATCATATCTTCTACTGTCTGACAACGGAACTTGCAGGGAAGAGGAGAGACGAGTTGGAGAAGTTGCTCAACGAAGGGGCCTACGATATGAACAGGCTGAAGGAGGCAGGACTGATCACCGACGTGCTCCATGAAGACGAGGTAATATTACCGTACCTAAAATTAATCCTTAGATTAGTACGTAACGGATGTCAATGGTGCTTATATGATGTCTGTGAGAATGTGCTCATAATCTGACACACAATGAACGCTATGAGCACATTCTCACACATACCATAACAACAATATTGTTGATCGAGTATTGATCAATTTAACGTGCCCTACTCTACGCATACAGGTCTTGTCACGAATGAAAGCGAAAGTTGGACTCCGAAAGGACCAAGTTCTGCCTATGGTTGATTACAGGTTTTTTAGACGTGAATTTCTCCAAACATATTGGCATATTATTCTAATTTAACTTTTAATAACAAACTTCAACTACATTGCCTGAAAAAAAATACACGTGCAGGAAATACTCGGGAGTTATGAACTGGACTCTGGGGTTGAACTCCGGCGAAGACGAAATCGCCGTGATCCGAGCATGTGGATGCATCGACATGAGCTGGAGCATCCTCAATTTCCCCGGCACCGGCATCAATCCACACGACGTCATTAAACAAATCCGCGCTGTCAGAGGTAAACTTAATTAATTTGGAGCTAGCCAACATTAGGGGTGGGAAATTGGATTCGGTTTATGTCCGGCCGGATCGGTTTGCTTTTTAACGATTTTTTTCGGTTTCGATTTGAACCGGAAATCGACACGAAATCAAAACCCAAATCCGATCCTTACTCTAACCGAAACTATTACCCAGGGGAAAGGGTTTAGATATTTCGGTATGTTCTAACTGAAAACCGATAAGCCCCTTATAACGGATTTGGCTTCAATTTTGGGGAAATAGTCTATATAACGCTTTTCACCCCCCAACGATTTCGGTTCGGTTAAACCGAACCGACAAACCTACCCAGTATCACCTTGATTATCATGTAATTGCAATTTTGCTTTGTTTATGGTTTTTGAACTGGCAGAGTCGAAAAAGTACAAAGCCCTAGTCATCAGAATCGACAGCGCCGGCGGGGATTGCCTCGCATCCGACATGTAAGTGCCCCGACTGCTACTCAAATCAACACTTCTCCACCACAGTTTTTTTTGCCACTTCACAGCTAGCCACGGCCAACTGCTGACAGGATTTGGAGAGAACTTAAACTGGTAGCGGCCGAGAAGCCCGTGGTAGCGTCGCTCTCGGATATTGCAGCTAGCGGCGGTTACTATATCGCCATGGCGGCCGACGCCATCGTCACCGAAAACTTGTCCCTGGCTGTTTCTGTTGGCATCCATCAAGGTAATTTTACCCGTAATCTTGAAAAAAAAGGCTGTACTACTCTAGCTAGTGTTTTTATGTCGACGTTTGTATTGGATATGTACAATGTGCTCGATTTTCGATTCGTAGGGAAGCTTAATTTTTCGGAACTGCACAAAAGAATTGGGCTGAACAAGCACATCGTATCGAAGGGCAGATACGCTGAGTATCCTACATCTGGCCATCGTGCTTTGAGGTTAGCTTTATATGATCATAATGTGCTCATTATCAGCAACTAATTACTAAGATTAAGCATAACAAATGCTTGTTTGTGTTAACCAAATCGGTGACGTTTGGTTTGTCTAGGCCGGAGGAAATGCAACTGTTGGACAACATCAATAAGCATTGGTACACAATATTTATAGACAGGGCAGCAACTTCTCGTTCCATGAGTGTGAGTGGCTTTTTTTTTTTTTTTTTAATTTGCGAATTTTTATAGTTACGTATTAATACGCGTATATATGGATACACGTATTATGGTTATTGCATGTGCGTGCTTGCAGATTGAAGAGATGGAGAAGCTGGCACAGGGCAGGATCTATCACGGTTCACATGCCTTTGCCCTCGGTTTGGTCGATGCGGTTGGTGGGATGGCTCGTGCCATCGCCATAGCCAAACACAAGGCGAATATCCAGCAAGATAAACCGGTGGGTTTTTTTTTCTTTTTTTCTTTTGAGACGAACCGATATTGGTCGTCTCGAGCTGACCTAATGAATTGAATCGATGTGTACGATGAAACACAGGTGAGGATTGTGGAGCTAACCAAACCCAATTCCGGGTTGACCGAGTGGATCACTGGGTTGGGGACGGTCGTGGCTGGTTTGGGCGGCGCCTTGGGTTCGGTTTCCGTGGGCCCGAAATTCGGGGACCATGGAGTTGAAGCTCGGGTGGATGCGTCGATGTTGGATGGCCTGGATGGAGGAGAAGTTTCGGAGTACTCCAACCCTATCTTCACTATCATGAAGTCTTTCCTCAAGCTCGGTCTTGGAAGCATATGAACAATTGAGTGGTGTGGAAATGTTGAAGTTTGGCCTTTTAGTTGATTGTAATCCGATTTGCACCTGGAGAGGCTACAACTAGCTAGATAACGGGGGTGTGGGTGTCTCATGTTTCAGCATTAGTGAGTTCAAGCTATTTTATTTTCTGTGTCTTTTTTTAGTTTACCGCTTATGACATCAAAGAGTCATTTGCTTGTTGGATTTCAAAAATGAATATTTTGAATGAAAAAAATATTTGGATTTATGATAGATTTATTACATTATAGATTTCAGAAGTCTATGGTTTATGTGATAGATCTCATAATATATTTTTGATGGATTTATTACAAAGATTAATAACCATTAAGAATTTGATAAATATATGAGGTTACAAATCTGCGGGCCCACGAATTCGGATGAAAGAAAAATCCAATATGTAGTCCCATGCAGTGGCGTAGCCAGGATTTTGGGTAAGGGGGTGCCAATTTAAAAAAATTAAAATGACTATCAATATTTTATAGTGACCCACGACGGGTTCTCATATTTTGAAAAGTCTGTAAAATACATTCATCATCAAGACTATCAAGAAGCTCGCTTGTTAGGGTTAAATTTTTGTTTACTTCTTGAATAAGCATATGTAATTATGAGGTTTTTTAATTTAATTTACTTATTATTTGTAAACAGTAAATTATATATATGCAATAAAACGTATTAGTTTATCATGTAAGTAATTGTGGTTTAGTGGAAGATGTCAAAGCTAATAGTAAGGGGGTTCCACGTTCAAATCCTAGCTATAGCATAAACTAATACCCCTATTTTTTGATGTTTTAGCCCCGATCCAAGGGTGTGCCGTGGCACACCCTTTTAATACTGTGTCTCCGCCCCTGGTCCCATGAATATATATGACATCCACCATGATTCAAATCCAGCACCTAGAAGTTTAATTAATTTGGGATTCAGGACTAGTGATATTATTTTGGTAACGTACTTTCTGGCATTAGTTTTTTGCGTTTTGGCATCAACCTTACCAGGCAACATCTATCCTTCTTGTCATCCACCTAGTACTTTCACATCATCCACAACCATACCTTCACAGAAATCGTCATTAGAATTAAGCTTCTGACCATGCTTGTGGTTCCCATCATAACCCTTGCAATGTTGTTAAGATGGCACGTCCATATTCTTTTTTCACAACCTATGATGCATGCTCTAAATGAGATACCTTCCATCGATCTGTATATTATAGGAGTACTTTCAAATTTTCCCATTTCATTCTAGTGCATCCTCGGCGAAGTTCTCTTCCACCTCATGAAATTCTTCGTGGCGCGCACTTCCTGACTCGTTTAAATCATCACCACTGGTGAGAGGTGGGGGGACAGTGTTCGCATTCGCAAAAAGTACCTGACACAAACATGAGTTTATACTCAATCTCCAATATTAGCCGCTAAAAATACGTTATCACCATAGAAAGATAGCAGTAACATACCACAGCTTTGAATTCCCGTGGAAATCGATCCCTGGCATCCGACAAAATATCAACATCGTCACGCTTCAAGATCAAAATATTTTCCCGCACAAATCCCGTGTGGAACATCACTCTGAAGATCATCTGTTCATTCAACAGCTCCTCGTCCAAGTAGACACACTCAATAACGATATCGCCTTGTACACGACATCTAAGATCTACCTTCACAAACACACACTCTTCCTGCAGTGCAAAATTTTCACGGTACAATCAACTCCCCAATGTTTGCACATTCATCCTTCAAACATTTTAGTTTCATCACGACCAAGACATAGTTACCTGTGCATACTGGCGTACGAGTCTCTCGGTCTTCCAACTCGAACACAAAAGCTTACACATTCCGTTGCCCGGTTTCGAAGGATCCTTACCATAAACACGCACAACCGTCCTGCAACCTTCTCCCCTCTCGCAGACTGGAAGCGCTCTAAGCACCAAACAATCGAGATCCAACGACGACGAGGCAGAAGGAGTCCAATACCCCCCAACAAAATTCCTTCTCGAAACATACCGGAGATATCTAAGATGTGAAGGGAGCGAATTCAAACCGGGAAAAACACACAGAAGTTCATTAGGAGCTAGCTTGTATATCGCTTCAAGAGTCTTCAGCTCCCCAGTATACTGCCCTCGATGGAGCAAAAAACCGGCAAGCATGAAAGCAAGAACATGCCACCCTCCTCTTTCGCAGTGCATCAACAACACGCTTTGTTGTTCCATCGACAGCCAGCTTTCGCTGAATCGAAGGAAATGACGAATTTTCTTGAGAGGCAACAACGGACACCCTGCGTATTGACGAGGGTAATCCAAAACCATCACGTCGTCGTGCTGCGTTAAGATGTCTGAAAGTTGGCTAAGTCGTTGATCTCTTTCATGAAAGTTGAACACCGTGTACGATGCATCGGGGAACTGGTCGTGTAGTTGTGCTACGATGTTGTTCAAGTAGAGCTTGTACTCGTCATTTTTCATGACATTGGTGGAAAGGCAACTGTTGAAAACTGGAAAAAAAAAAAAAAAAGATAGGGCACGGGAGAGAAGAAGAATAAAGGAATCATGCAACGGGAAGGAAGACTAGTTCTTTGAGGGAGGAAAAAAAGAAGAGGAAGGGAAAGGAGGTACCGAAAACTCTGTCGGAGATCTCAAGAAGCCCGTCCGGCGGATTCCGGTGGAATAAGCGTCTGCACAACGCCATCTACGCGCGGTGGCTGGATGGATCCAAATCGATGGATTTCTAAAATTACATATCTCTCTCTTCCGAAGACAAAATTAATCCACCTTCAGTTTCGTCGTTCCAACTCAGATTGCAAAAAGTTCGTGTGGCCGAACGCAAAAGGGAATCGGCGAATATGAATGCCCGTGCTAGGTAATTCGTCACCAACGTGAATGATGAATTGAATCGGAGAATTGATATGTTGAAGAAGTGAATGTGATAGGGCGAAAGGGTCAGAGGGAAATGAGGAAGATGGAAAAGAAAGGGGAAAATGAGAGAATTCTATAGTGTCGGGCAAGTACCCTCCTTTTTTGAGAGAAATGAAAAGGTGGAGAAAACATGTGTGGCAGTGAATTTTATGTATTAAAATTGTTATTTTGTATTAAAATTTTGGCTCCATTAATTCATGTAATTTAATGCCTTGGAAAAAAATTAATGTAGAATATAGAAGAAGCACTTATCACTACTTCAGCATTAGAATATACAAGAAGCAAGTTGCAAGTGATAGGTATTTGTTCCAGCCACAAATAAATTGGTCTCGAACAAGAAAAACATTATTTTTCTTACTGTGGCTGTGGCTGTTGCAAATCAAAATTATCCCCGGCCATTTTCCTCTGTGATGAATGTTTTAAATTTTCGAGCAACGTCACACAATGGGTCGCAGAATTTCTTGTTCTTTGTGGCGGTTTTTCCTAGTGGTGGTGAGGTGAACCAATTGCGCCGAGGGACGACTTTGGAAGATTGTTGTGATTATAGGTGGCAAACAGATTTGATTTATGGATTAGTGGATCTATAGATCAAATGGATTAGTCGATTGTATTATACTATTATAGATTCAAGTGAGCCAATATATAAATTTTGAAAAGTGTATAAACTAAAACATAATTTTTTCGACTATATTTTTCATTAAAACATAAAATTTAGGTACCAAATTGTAAAAGATATAAAAAAAATAGATACTAAACTCCAATGTGTTGTGGCGAGGGCCTACAAGCCAATCATAAACAATGCACAATGTAACAAAGTTAGACATCGATCCAACCATTTATCTTTGCCTTTCAACCATGGATTTTAACCACTTTATTAGACATACGTTCATTACAATTCACCCGCAGAAAGCTGTGAGATATTATTAGTAAAAACTAAAAATAAAGCATACAAAGGCATAGAGGAAATTCATGACACATATAAACATCACCACACCACGTACAAACGACAGGAAAGACGCATGTACGTATATCTTACTTAGTAACAACGATCGACTTGCCTAGAGCGAGGTTGTACTTCCGATGACCTAAAATAAAAGGCTCATACAATAGGCCATTGTTTCTCACCGCCGGCGAAGTCACCGGCCTCATCTAGTCCAGCTTGATGGGTTCTGTAGCGCCGGGAGCACCACTGTGAACCTTACCGAAGACACCTCCGCCAATGGGAGCAAGCCACGACGAATCAGCCTTTCCAAATACTCCACCGCCGATGGGAGCCAGCCACGATGCATCTTCACCGGAGTTCTCAGCCTTTCCAAAGACGCCGCCGCCGATAGGAGCGAGCCAGGACGCATCAGCGCCTCCATCTATTAGAGCACCACGACGACGAGTGTTATTATGTCATACTAGGAGTATGGGTTACGTATTTTGACATAGTATTTTTTTTATATTAACGTTATTATATGAATCCGTCATTATATTCTATATATAAAATATAAATCCCGACATAATTTCAATAATAAAACACAACAATTTCCACCGAATTTTGATTTACCCAACACCGTTCATACCGTCACGAGCCTTTCCGAATACGCCGCCACCGATTGGAGCTAGCCAGGATCCATCACCCACGTTGGCACGCATTCTCACCGAGTTCTGATGTGCCGCCGCCTTTCCAAAGACGCCTCCACCAATGGGAGCGAGCCACGAGGCATCACCGCCTCCGTTCGCGCCATTTCTGGACTTTCCAAAGACGCCGCCGCCAATGGGAGCCAGCCAGGAGGCGTCGGCTCCGTGTATTGCAGTGGTGGGAGCGTTAGGGAGAAGGGTGGTAGCAAATGAAAGAGCAGAAGAAGCCATGTGAATGTGTGTTGTTTACAACTCCTCGATCGTTAGCTTTAGTACTGCGATGGGAAGTATATAATGGTGTTCTGATGAGCAGGGATGAAGGGGATATACATTGGCTATTCCACAGCAGATGGTATTTATAATGTGCAAATTCCTGTACCAAATGTTATTAATATCAGCGAGTTGGCAATATTAATATTAGCCAGTGGCCATATATATATATATATCAGCAGCCGGCCGTACCGTAGATTATTAAACTAGTGTAACTTGTTAGCGGTAGGTAGCAGAAAGAAAGGTAACCCGCCGGAACTGTTCAGGATTCATGACAAGCTGTGTGAAGGTTGACTCTTGAGTAGGGCTGGCAACCGGTCGTTTTCGGTTTAACCGAAAATCGAATTCCCGATTTTCGGTTAAATCGAGACCTGACCAGGAGCTGCCGGCCACCGACCGACCTCAGAGCCCCGGTTAGCCGCAAACCGACCAGTCAGTTTTTTATTCCGGCGCGGTTAAACCGGGGCAACCGATGGATTGATGCGCGATTCCAGAAAACACCCTTCTTTGCCTCTCACTTGCAGCTGCCGTTTCCTCAAACTCCATCCAAGTAGAGAGAGGCGAGTTGGGACAGAAATCCCTTTCTTCCCTGCCTCTTTCAAACCCCCAATCGACAAAGTGGAGGCGGTAGATCGATTGTGCGGAGGCGACGACGGCAAGCGAGGGGAGGAGGTAAGGAGCCGAAGAAGTAGTTGTAGTCGAGGAAGAGGGATCTGGGGTTGGGGAGAGTGGAGAGGTCGGGATTGGGCCAGTGAGGGACATCCACCCTTCCCTCTACGCCGCCGACGCCGAAATCGCCTGTCCCAACATCGTCTCTTACTCACACATCCTCGTCGTCGCCGCCTGAGATCTCGTCCCCATGACCGGAGCGACGAGGTGGGAGCGGCGGTCGTGACTCGGGAGAGGGAAGGAGGGGGTCGGAGGAAGCGCAGTAGTGAGGGGGAAGGGGTAGGAATGAGGCGGCGACCGGCGAGGCTTTTGGAGGCAGGGGAAGGGCTGGTCGGCGACTATCGACTGATTTGGGGGAAGGGCTGATGGAGGCGGCGACTGTCGACTGATTTGGGGGGAGGAGGGCGAGTCGCGCGTCTTAGGGTTAGTGGGGCGTGCCGCGGCGTCGTTTAAGGGGAAAGGGCAGGGGTCGGTTAGCCGGTTAACCGCCGGTTTCCGACCCCGGTTAGTCGGCTAACCGGCCCCCTGATATTTCCCACCGCCAACCGACCGCCCTCTTTGGAATCGATTTTTCGGCTAGCTGAAAACCGGTCGGTTCGGTTGAAACCGGCCGGTTATCCGCTAACCGGAAAACCGTTTGCCAGCCCTACTATTGAGGGTAAATACCAATGTTATTAAAGCGGAACCGAGCCGCTCGGCCCGACAGGTAAAGCCGCCACCCGGTTACAAAACTGGTTCGAAATAGTCTAAAAGTCATTCCGGTTTTATGTAGCGGTTGGTGAGCGGCCGAGGCGGTTAACCGTTCGAGCCAATCGAGCCGCTCGTCCGGTTTTTGCCATTCAACCACTAAATTTAATTAAAAAAATTGCAGAAAATTGAAAATTGAAATAAACCAAAAACATCGGGCTCTCAAACTGAATCATTATTTCCATTTCACAATTTCGAAGGAAAGAGATGAGCACTGATTAAGAAATGTCCACTATTTATACTAATAATTTTTATCAGGTACCGGTTCTCTAACGGTTTTTAAACGATCTAATATCGGTTTGACCACTAAAGTGCGAGCCGTTCGCATTACCGGGTCATGCTCCGGTTCGGTTCTGACAACATTGGTAAATACCACATTTGGTAACTGGGATTACTAAATCGTGTTATGTTTAGTCACTAGAAAAAATTAATATTAATTTTGGTCATTCGAATTACTAAAACAGGTCATATTTAGTCACTCTCCCGTTAGCCTCCGTCCAACTCTAGTCACTCGAATTACTTTTTTCTTATGAATGTCACTCAAATTACTGAAACATGGACACTCTCCCGTTAATTTCCGTCCAACTCCATGTTTCAGTAATTCGAGTGACCAAAATTGATATCAATTTTGTTCTAGTGACTAAACTTGACATAATTTAGTAATCTCAATGACCAAATGTGACATTTACCCCTATATATTTACATACACTTTGTAAGTAAGTGATTAGATTAGTTATATTGATTGGTTTATAACATAATATTATAGTTGGTTTTTCATTCAGGTCAACGGTTCAAATTAAATCATCACTATTTTCAATCTTGATAGTTATCTTAATTAAAGCACGTGGTATGCCGAGTCTGTACAATTTTCAAGCGCATAAGATATATTCCATTTTGAGAGGGCGTGTAAGGAAAAAAATAACATTCCTACATAAACTTTTTCAAATTACTCAAATTGTTGTAACCAGTTGGCTTATGACAGTACATATCGGATATTAGCCAAATCTAATAATTTAACAGCTTGCCACCACTTGCCGCGCAATGAATCGGACAACCACTAGCTGCTACATGGGCAAAATGATCACATTAGTAGCTAATGAGTTAGGGTTGGCTTAAGATAGGGCTCAAGTTAGGGTGCATAACCATGGGTTATGTACCCATCAATAACCAAATCTGGACCCTTCATTTAGAAAATCCAGATCTAAGGATGGAGAATTAAAGCCATTTTTATTTTCACTAGTTTTCTTAATTGACTCATATCTTTTTCGTTTTAACTCGGATTTTAGTTTTTTTTGCACAGATGGAACGAGTTCATCGTGCTCTACAAAATGAGATCAATTTTCAATATTTTTTGAGGAACAAAAAATTCTGGCCTCTCGGTACCAACTGCATACCATATGGTATCTTGTTCGTTTTTAATTCGTTTTTGAAAACGTTTGCACAGTAGGGACGAGTTCATCATGATCTATTGGATCTACAAATTTCTGGGTGAACAAATTACAAGACAAAAAAATACCACACAATACCATACAATACCACCCTGGTACGGGGTGGTATTTTATGGTATCTTATGGTATACAATGTTAAAAATCGTAAATGACAATTAATATATTTCTACTATCATGTATTCAACCATCCTACAGGTTTGGTTTGTGTCATACCACCATGGTACGCTTTTCAAACCATAGGTATGCTCTTATTTCAATACCAGTCAATACCATA